CAAATCAATTCTCAATCATGTAATCACAGTATGAAATTCAACTTGCAATTTTTATAAAGATTTAGAAAATTGCCTAGCAAGTTCATATGTGTGTGTGTGCAATCCAACCACATCAAATTTCAATCAAATCACATTGATCAACTGTCTAAACCATATTAATCGAAAAACATCAAGATAACATTGTTTAAAACAAAATTTTCTAAGCAAGACAACTTTCACTCTAAAGAGTAGACAATAATTCTCTATTTCGACTTGTCTCCTCTTTTCTTTTTACTCAATTAGCTCTTCTTCAAATTCTAGTAGGAGCTTTTGAACTAATCTCAATAAGTAGTCTTTTCTTTAGCAAAGATTTTCAGCATTCTTTTCATGCTGAAATTTTTTATTTTTTTATTTTTTAAAACATATGTTTTTTATTTTTTAAAAAAACAATAACCTTTATAACTTTTATGAGCAATATGACCTAATCAACTTTACAATGATTTTTTATTAAATTTTCTTAGAGTTGAAGTGCACATGAAAAATATGAAATCAAGAAACTCATATCTAAAAAGAAATAAATAAAGTAAATTGTCTTTCAACATATAGATTACACATCAAGAACCTTTTTTCATCAAATAATCACGTGTCCTAATTCTCATTTAAAAATAATGAATTCAAGAGAAATAATTATTGCAATACCCCTAATTTCTGGAAATTTATTTAAGTATTTTAATTGCATTTTTATTTAATTATGTGGCTATTTCATTATTTGCTTATATATTTAATTGTGTGATTAATTGATTATTTATTTTATTTTATTTTTTAATTGAGTTAATTTAAACTATTTAAGTTGGCTACTTATGTATATGCAATCTTTTAATTGATTTCATGTGTGATGTGTTTAATTAATTAAATTGCTTGAAATTGTTTAATTGTTTAGTTAAATGATTTGTTTATTTTATTTAAAAGGTTATGGATTTGGGTTGTAACCCATGGACCAACTAGATGGGACCTGGACTATTTGGATGGGATCCTAAATGGGTTGGATATTGACCCATGGGGATTAGTATATATATTATGTTATGTGTGTGTGTATATATGTGTGTGTGTGTGTGTGTGTGTGTGTGTATATATATATATATATATATATATACACACACATATAGTCTAGATCTAGAAAGAGAAAAGAGAAAAGAAAGAAGAGGGGCGAGAAAGAGAGAGAGTGTGTGAGAGAGAGATAGAGAAAGTTAGAGGAGGAAGAAGAAGAAGAGTGGGAGATTTGTTCGTGGGTAGATTGGATCAGCGGAGTGGATAACGGTAATCTAAAGGCTGCCAGCGTTAGAGAAGAACAATAAGGAAAAATGAATTTAGCTTTCGATCCAAAAGTTTAAGGTAAGTCCTCTGTTCTACACTTATCCCTTAGATCTGTGATCTATATGTCTCTAGTATAACTATAGGGATGATTAAACGATTAATAAAATCTGTATCCATGTCTAAATTGATATAAAGTATATGTTTTGTGATTATATGTTCATATTTGTTATTGATGTATAATTTGGTAAATTTATGACTTAGATCTGATTTAAATGGATTTTTCCATGTTATATTGATGTAAATTTGTTCATGGGTGGTTATGGGACTTAGTAACATACTTTAGGACCCTTAATAATAGAGAACAGGGCTGGAAAACAGTGCCATACTAGGATTGCAACTTTCAAAACAGTTTTCTGTTTTGAGAGTTGCAAAAATTTAGAAAACACATTTTTATACTGCTTGGTACTGTTTTTGAAGAACAGTTTTTGAAAAACTAAGTTAACAGAGTATGAGATTTTAGAACACTTAAAAGGTGTTTTGTGAATTTTAGGACTAAGTTTTGAGAACTTACAAAACATGGAGAACTCTGGGCCACTTAAAAAAGCACGGAACTTCAGGGAGTTGGAAATAAACTTGATTTTAGACTTTTAGTATTAATTAGCATTTTGAAGTATTTGGTACTACCCATGGAGGTGGATCACAATGCATGGAGTGTTAGGTACAATGCTTTGAGAATGAAGAGTTTACAAAGGCTAATTATGAAAGTTTTGAGGAAAAATTTGTGGAGAATAAAGAGACGTATAATGCAAATCAAGTTGAAGAATTTGAAGAACAACTTGAAATGGTGAATGGGGAAGAGGTAAAGAAATGTTTTGAAGAAGGGATTGAAAAAGTGGAGTAGAATGAAGGTGAAAGAGAAGATAAAGAAGAAGAAAGTGCTAACGAAGATGCATAAGTTAATGAAGTTGCTGAGTTAACATTTCAGATATGGTTATAAATTCCACCTTCAAAGAAAGTATATTTGACTTATTTAATGACATTATGATTTCTTCATATTCATTCCAATTGAAAAATGAAATCAAATATTATGATAATTGTATTCATGTTGTGGAGAATGACGAGTTTCTCTAAAAGAAAATTGTTCCAATGAAGAAGTATAAGATTGAAGCTCAAGATGACAAGAATTTCTTAAATTGTTTTTTGAAAAATGGTTTGGAGAATTTTGTAATTGACATAGATTGGGTGAATATAGAGTTTTTTTTTTTATTCCAAAGAAGAAGTACATGTGAAGTTCAAGAAGTATCGAAATTTCAAGAAGAAATAAGACAGATGGTGTACTTGTGTGAAAAAGATAAAAATTGATCATGAGAATGCATTATTAAAACATTTGAAGATTTTTCACAAGCCATATACATCCATGGAAATGGCCAAGAAAATTGTTGCATTTGAAGAAGGTGGAACTCAAAAAAACCTAACAAACTTTTGATCAAGCCCCCAAGATCAATAAAAAGTTTACTTTTAAGTTACAAAATTAAGTTTAAAGATGGGTGTTGGAAATAAACTTGATTTTAGAATTTTAGTATTAATTAGTATTTCCAAGCATTTGGTATAAATATGCATATATGCATTTCATATTAGTAGGGTAGTAAATGGTCTTGATGCAGAAGGTTATGTAACCAAGAGGTATGTGAATTAAGCCTCCTAAATACTATGTTATGGGAGTTGTGTCTTCTAAAGATTATGTTAGTGAGAGTAATTAATGGGAGTTATGGACATTCATATATAATTGATATATTTATGTTCTTGGAGTCTATATAAACTCATGTACTTTAGTAATTTTATAAGTAAAAGAATAAGATGAAATAATATAAGTAGAATATAAAAGATTTCCAAGTGTTCCTTTCCTCAACTTTTCTTTCATATTATTGTGTTGTGTGTGTCTCTACTTCGGCCACTTATTTCTAACAAAGTGGTATCAGAGCAAAGACCAATACTATAAAGTTGGTAGTCATGATCATAATGTTAGGTCCACGAAAGTTTTAAAAACTTCTAGAGGGTTTTTCGAATAAAGATCTTGATTCATGTGTAGCGACAAGTTTTATGCATAAAGAATATGATGATTCATTCAATTAGAGATAGGAACTTACATCAAGGTTTGAGTAAACCTTAAATCTTTCATCTATAGTGAATGTTTTCACTTATTATAGATTTCTTTGTTGGATGCTTCTTCCTTGGATCTCCATCTTGTTGGTAATGATCTTGCCTTTAGGAATCACTTATAAACCTCTATGAATAACTTTGGAGAGCTTAGGTTGTGGGAGCCTCCGTTAGATGAGAACCCTAGCCCTAAAATATTAGAGAGAAAATATTTTCTTATCTTCCAAAAATATTGCACAAAGGCATAACCTAAAATATACATGGACCCCATGTATATATAGGCAAAATAAAAATAAAAATTAAAGACAATATATTTTTCTTAATCTCTAAATTTCATGTGATATCTCAAATCTAATGAGCCTCTAATTTCAAGTTGGACTATGAGTGATAATTCTTTGGGCTTATTATTTTCTTGGCTAAAATGAATTAATAATTGGCCCAGTCCATTACCATGGACCCAATTTAATTAATTCATAAATCAATTTCTACTCCACTAAAAAAAATTAATTGAACTCCAATTAAATAATAAATAACCTCTAAATTGATGTTGCATTTTGACCTCATAATTGGTTATCGAATAAATAAAGCCATCAATCCGACTACTAAATTAATATATTTATTTTGATATCTTTGATTATTTCCGGCTTGATAACAATAAAACATTTGTTTGACAAAAATAATAATTTAAATAAATAAATATATAAAAAATCATTTTGTCTAAAAATTATTTTGTCAATCATAATCAATACAAAATAAATACAAGTAGTAATGATGCAAATATTGAAAATATAACCCTCTAACTATTAATTACATAATTACTCAAAGTGTCGGTTTTTGGATTCCGAAGAATCCCTGAACAAATTAAAGTAATTACTAATTAATAAAAGAGTCTATACTTCCCTCATGCTTAAGACTCAAATGCCATGACAGTGATAGGGAGTAATTGTATACAACCACTCTAACAATACATCTCAACCTAATGCGGATCCGGTTCAAGTCTTACTTAATTAAGAGTCCATTCATAATCACCGACTATGAACTATTTATGATTACTATTTATGTTCGTGTATTGATCGCCATCACATACATATAAAAAATTTTTGTAATTAAGTGAACACTATCAATTTCATAATAAATCAAAACATAATACATTAAATTCACTAATAATATAAAATATAAATATTTTAGATATATTAAGGATGCAAGTCACTTTAATTCAAATAAAAATTCGCTTTAATTCAAACAAAAATTCGCTAGGTGAGAAAACACATAACCCAAAGCATATTGCAACCCAACCAATATCTATATTTTGGCAATTTCATAATAAGTAGCATTGAATAGACTGAATGGTGTGAAAAAGGCGAGCATACCCTTGAGCTGACGGGTACTAAATTTCGTCCAACGAAATAATAGTATACAGTAGTAAAAGTTGACAAGAAGAGAAAAGAGAAAAGTGAAAAAGGTGAAATGCACATATCATCGCCATCATTACCATCATCACTTGTTCAACCCTCACACCACACTTAAATTCCAAAAAATTCCCTCCTTTACTTTCTTTTCTTCTCCTGCTTCCACCTTTTCTTGCTTTTTTGCATCTTCTCTTGCTTGTGCCCTCAACACACCACCGCCCCCAATGTCTCCTTCCTTTATCAAAATTTTTTTCTCTCTCTCTCTCAGGACGTAAATATTTTTATATATAAATAATAATGAAGGGTTCAAAATCCTCCATTTCCTTTTCAACAAGGTCATGATACTTAATTATCTGGTTTGAAATATATTTCTGCTTGTCCTTTTTTGTTTCAGATAAATCTAAAATCAGAACTAGCAGCTAGTTTGGAGATCGAACTACATCAAAGCTAAGGAAGACGAGCGCTCATTAGAAGGCAAAAAAGAAGAAGAAGGTTAGAATTTTAGAGAGAATGGGTACAAGGATTGTTCAATGTGTTATATTCATCCTATTGGGTCTGTTTCCCTGTTCAGGTGACTTGTTTGGTCTTCTTGTTCATCAGCACCATCATTATATATTATCTCCCTCTCCAATTTTGGTTTCATTTTTTATTTTCTATAATAATAAGGGCATCTATCTCATCATTCTGCTCTCTCTGTTTGTAAACTCCAGATGCTTTTCAATTCTCTTCTTTTCTTTTTATTATTATTTTTTTTTTCTTTCTTTCTTGGGCAAATATATCCATTTCCAACCAAGTCCATTTTAGTTTGCAAATGAAAATGTGGAGATGTGATTTCTAGACCAAGAATTCTTTTCTTGCAAAATACATTTATTGTAGATAGTGCTTTATCCAATTCATGAGTCATGTCATTCAAATATAAAATAATTATATGGTTGGTTGTTCACACTACATATTACTGAGAATTCTTGTTGATTTCAGACTGTGCCTTGTTAATTTTTCCCTACTTGTTCATGGATAATCACTCTGATTTGATGAATCTTAGTATATTGATCCATCATGAGATCATTTATTTCTTGATTAACTGAGAATTTAATCATTGAGAGAATCCCTTAATTCACAAGTTTTTTAGTGGTTGCTGCTGGTGAGCCGGAATTGCCTTAAATAATATACTAGTGTTAACAAATGGAGTATCAATTATGAATTGAAAAGATGTTTACCGATTCAAAATTCAATTATGAATGATTTAAATGATGTTTGGTGATTCAAATTTCAAATTTCAAATTTCAAATTTCAAATTAATAAACCCTAAACCCTGAAAATGTGAAGAAAAAGGGGGTTAATAATTACTTGGTTTGAATATATAAATTCAGGTTTAAGTAGTGCAACAGATCAGAGTGAAGAAAATATTGTTGTTATTGGACGCAAGAGAGAAGTAAAGCATGGGGAGGAGAAACAAGTAGATGATGAGCTACTAGTATTATCTTCCATTTCCACCACCCAAAATGACATCACTACTCCTATACCGACGGTTCCAACAATGAATATTCCCAGTAGTTCAGGTTCAGCAACAACTACTACTAATGTTCCAGTTGTGAACCCAGCGGTTTCAAATCCAGACTCACCACCAGCAACCACTAATAACCCGGTCATGAGTACTCCAACAACAACCACATCATCATCATCATCATCATCTTCGACTTCGAGTACTGGAAGCAGCTGGTGCGTTGCTAGCCAATCTGCACCGCAAATTGCATTGCAGGTTGCCTTGGACTATGCTTGTGGCTATGGTGGTGCAGATTGTTCGGCCATTCAGCCTGGAGGAAGCTGTTACAATCCCAATACACTCCGTGACCATGCTTCTTCTGCATTCAACAGCTACTATCAGAACAATCCCGTTCCTAATAGCTGTAATTTTGGTGGCACGGCTATTATTACCAACACTGACCCAAGTAATTCATTCATTATTTATTTATTTTTATTTGATTATTTAAGGCACCATTTTAATTAGTCTTAGCACATAGATATATACAGTACTACAAAAGCACATGCATGACTAGCTAACTCTGGTTGGCATTTTTAGATTAATGCTGATGAGTAATTTTTTTTTTTTTTTAATTTATTTTTATATATATGTCAGGTTATGAGACATGCCAGTATCCATCCACTAGGTATGTGTATATATGTATATGTTTTAATTTCCTCACCATTATATATATATATATATATATATATATATATTTGCAGTAGTAGCTTGGTTTTGAAATGAAAGAAATCAATTAATTATAGCTAATTGGTGGTGATTGAAATTGCAAATGATGCAGCACGAGCTCATCAGTTTTAAACACAACAAATTCAAGTGGATCAACAGTTTTTGGTGCAGGACGTCCTTCAACCCCCACAAGTGCAGCAGCTGCTTGTACTAGTTTACCAAATATCTTCATTTCAACAGCTCTCATCATCATGTTATTGCTAGCCCACTAATCACGTCCAAATGATTGAAGATTAATTCTGGGTTGCCAACCAGTTGGGTTTTTTTCTCAAACCAAGATTTTGAAATCAAGGCATCTCCATTCAAATCAATTGTTGTTTTATACACATACATATTTTAATTTTGTTGCCTTTGGTATATATATATATAGTGATCAAGGAGAGAGAATTGAATACGTACTGCAGCAAGGGGAAGATATGCAGCTAGCTACTTAATTGATGGCCGGGCATTTATTTGTATTGTATTGGCTTTAGAGTACATTAGATTCTTTTGTAAAGGTTGGAAATTAGCGAAAGCTTGGTTGAATTGGCAAGTGTGTAAAAAGAGTATTCTTCTATATATATATATATATATATAGAGCAACAACCATACAAAACTTAATGTCTGACAAGCTTCCATCCCCTTGGCCCTAACCCACCCCAAAAGTGAAATAAATTGGCAAATTAAAGCTGCCAAAAGGAAAAGGAAACATATACTCCTATACTAGCATGCTAGAAGTAGAGGACTTCAGGATAAATGATTCAACCAGGTGAGTAATTCAAGGACCAGATGATCAGCCAGCCTATATTATATATACAATACATATACTTCCATATATTGGTACAGCAGCTAGAATGAAGTTCAAGTGAACCAATTTAGCTTAATTGTTGATGCAGCTTAAATAAATAAATATATAAAACATAGAATTTTTAAGCAATAGAATTGTCGTGTCACGGAAATCAATATTCGGCAGCAGCAGACAAATAAAATAAGACCCAAACCATGTATTTACTTTTGTGTAAAATTGTTTATTACGCGGTGTTTCTATCAGTTCGTCCATTTCAAATTGAGTCACACTTGTATTAATGCATGCTTTAGATGGAAAGCATAAATAAATTGATGAATTCTTGTGATGCAGTAAAATATTATTACATATGCATTAGTCTTAGTCACTCATTGCTGAATATGACGTTGTATTAATGAAGTATAATTATTGATTTTTTTTTTTCGAGATAATTATTTATTAATTAGGTTTCAAGCAATGTTACAGACTTGTGTGTATGACTGCTGTTGATGTTAAAAAAAAAGTCCCTCCTGATTTTAAACATTTATTTTATTGGGCCACAATTAGCAGTTCATCAATATACAGACAATGGAAGATATATATATATATAGGAAATGAGAATAAGTGATGGAGGATTGCTCGCTCCGTGTTTGAGGCCGATCCTGATGACTATGACTTTGCCTAGTTTCTGTTGCTTGCTTCGACTTTGAACAAGAATAATTAATTAAAAATGAGTTGAGCAACTGGTTGGTTTGTAATTTGACATTTGTTTAATTGTGTTGAATGATCTATTTGAGGTCATCAATTTATAGTCAATTAATTCTTGTTGCATGATGATTCTGTTCACCCATAACATAAATCAACTAGTAGCAGTACTCTTATTAGAATATATATATATATGATTAATTATGACAAAATCTCTACACTACCTTGGATGGATTCTATTATCCTTAAAAGCCCCCAAGGGCCCATGGCATCCATTACAAACACCACTTGAATAAAGTAGAAGCTAGCCATGGTTAAGAATGTAAGAACATGATAAAGACACCTTTTTCTTTTCTTTTTTGAATAATGGACCTAACTTGTGCAGAAAACCGAAAAATAAATTAACAGGATAAAAGATAATATACTCCGTACATTTTATTTTAATTTAAGAAAATTTAATTTGAGTACAAGCTTTGTGGGACTTGATAAGTCACCTTAGTTTCTTATGGTTTTTATTTCAAAATATGTAACAGAGTGTAATATACCTACCTGATTTGTGCATTGTCTCATTACATAGTCAAACTTTCAACCACATCATATAAAAGTAAATGTGATAGTAAAACATTAATTATTTATTTATTTATATATATTATACTTGTGGAAGATTAGCCTAAACTTTATGATAGGGTGGATCCACATATACCATATCATGTCTTCCATGTCCAATTATTTTCTTCTTTTTACATTGATTAGTGGGTCAGGGAGGTGGGTGCGTAGCTGTCAAATATAGATATACATAGATGGATGGATGGATGGAGATCCATCCGTGAATTATTATGGTTTAAATTAGAAATGCGTAGATGGTCCATTAATGTATTTGCCATAACCATCACTTATTCTCATTTCCTATTAATCTCCTCATGGAGGACCTGCATCTCCTCCATCCCCTCCTCATACCCACAACCACAACCACCGCCACTATTGCTAGCACAGCGGTTGCCTCGGATGATCACGATTACAAGTATTATAATAATAATAATCATAATAATAATAATAATATATTAGTTTCATCAAACTGTATTTTATTGAGGGTGATCTCAGTGTTGTTGATTGGAATTATCTCCATCTGGGCGAACTACGAAGCCTCCAAAGGTTTCAAGATCACCATCATCAATGAGGCTGCTGACTCTCCCGCAGGCAAACGCTTCACACTCTTATACGTATCAAACGACAAAGCCACTCGTATACTCCTTAATCAAAGTAAGTCTATCGAAAACCTTCTTTACCCTACACCTACACCTGCAGATTATAAGAAGAAGCAAATAAAACATGTCATCCTCCGGCTGGCTGGCCGGAATCTGACCCACAACACCATCATCCACTACGAACATAATAATAATCATGAGTATGTGATACGTATAAGTCCTTCAATAATGGAACAGTCGTCTAATGTAAACCATGCGATGTTAACAGCAATCCAACAGGGTATGGCACGGATATGGCTATATAATGCCGCCGATAACGCAGTGTTCCACCACAGTAATATTACTACTGCACCTCCCATCTCTCTTATCAATGGCATGGTTGAGTACATAATTAGCATCTTGGCAGGTAAAGGTAATTCTGCTGCAGGAGGAGGCCGCTCGGGAGGTTATTCTGCATGTATGCCGGTAGAAGAATCTGACAACAACGTTTGCTGGAAGGATAGGGATCCTAAGGCGGTGGCACATTTCTTGAATTATTGTGAGGGCCACCGAGAAGGATTCATCAGACGGTTGAACCAAGCCATGAAAAATGGCTGGCACAATGAGACACTACTACTGGATTGTGCGTTAGGCTTGCCAGCTAAGCATCTTTGTGCATCCTACAAATCCTCATTATTAATGTACAATATCCATTCAAATTCATTGGATTTGGACTCCACCAATATTATCCCACCATGTTATCTAACTTAATTTTGTGTTAATTTTATTTTCTTAATTTTGTGTTAATTTTATTTTTTACCGCATACTATATATTATTTCTCCTCCTAACAATTAAACACATGATACACATCATGATGCACATACTTATTAAATTATTAATTCATTCGATGGTATCCACATGGTACCACTAAGGCAGTTAACCTAAATGTACGTTTAATTGGAATGCACGTGGGCCCGGCCAAATCTTCGACTACCGTCAATCGCCACCATTGATCCATGATATTAATCAGAATGGCAATGCATTTAAGTACAAACACAAAATTAAAGACATAGATACTTTATAATTTTATTTTGATAATGCATGTATATATGCCTCTATATATTTATTTATTTTTGTCATTTTCCCTACCCTTAGCTTCAATTTTTTTTGAAAATTAATATTAATAGTGAGTTTAATAGTGAGTTGTGGATATTATTGCTTAATTGACAACCCTCAAAATGTATCCTAAGTAATATAAATGATGGCTTTGTCAATTGTGTGTGGCCATCATGCAAAGAAGGTTGGATTTAGTAATGGTGAATGGTCTATTGGGGAAGTGAATTCACAACTCTTTGTGGGTTGTAATCAAAAGGAATCGGCGCCACAAGAAGGAGTATTTAGATGATAGTACTGACTCGAATCAGGTCCGGGTGTAAGCTATACCTTTCCAAAGCCTAGTGATCCAAGCCCAAGATGGACCTAGGGCTCAGCATTGGCCTAAGTCTCCCATAGATAAATGTCAAATTCTACCGTTGGAATGCTTGAACCAGCTGGCCGAAACTCATAAAAAGGCCAAAGCCCCTGTAATTTCCACAAGTCATAGATCATCTCCATCTCATAATGGTAAGAAATGGCATCAAGCTGTCTCCAGTTGTTCCCAGAAGGTGCAAAACTTAGGAGGTAAGAAATGAAAAATGTAACGACTCAAATTTGTGGATCCAAATCGCCAATCGGGTCTTAACTTGAACCCAAGAACACCCAAGGGTAATATGGTCATTACAAGGTGAAGGAGATGGGTGAATTAACTCTAATTGATTCAAGGGGAGTCTATTTAAGTCATCATATCTATATAAACTCATTTGATGCGGTCTTAGATGCAAAGACAATGTTCTCACATAATTAGGCCTTTTTAGTTTAGAAGATTTTTGAAGTAGTCTGTGCTAAAATAGTCATAACTTTCTTTACAGTTAGAATTTTGGAATGGCATTAGTTCCATTGGAAAGTTAACTAAAAATTCTTGAATTTAGACTCAAATTGATCCAATTTGGTTATTAAATGAAGGAGATATGACTGTTTGAAGTTGGGTCAAAACTACAGGTGTGCTAAAAGTTTCAGTCGACTTAAACTTGTGTGAGCCGGCTGAAACTGAAGGGTTAGTCGACTGACAATGATGGTCAGTCAGCTGAAACAATGCTCTAAGTCCCTAGAATTCTGTTTTGGCCAAATTTACACTGTCGATCGGCTGGCTTATATCACCATCCAACTGAAACACCCCGGGAGCTGAAAAATGGGCCATTTTCAAGATACAATGCCATGGACTACACCTATAATGATCCTATGGGTTCCGAAATAACCCAAAACTTATATAAAAGATGAGATACACTAACTAAACACTACCTACATTGATACAAATGATTTTTTTATTTTTTTATTTATCAAAATACATAATTTAGTCAAAATATAATTCCTCCTTAATCATCCATCTTTGACATTATACAAAAGTGACTCTTTTGTCATCACACACATATCCCAAAATATACAAATGCATGCCCAAAAGAATATGATTACATAGTTAAGGCCTTTAATTGCGGCCATAATTACAATGCTTTTTTACAATCTTGACGAAATAATGTCACTTTACAAAACGATCATCATTAGAGCAAACGTTGATACAAAAATTATAAAATATGAGTTTTTTACTACATCAACACTTGTGGAGGTGTGTCGTCTATTATATCCTTGCCATGTCCTGAAAAATATTAAGGGAAGGGGTGAGCACGGAGGCTCAGTATGAGATGCTTAAGGCATCTACTTCGGATTCCCTTGAGTAGATCAGCAACCAAAAAAGACTTAGAGGTCTCAATACTCACGCAACATATATAACTGTAATAACATTCATTTCACCATATACTAATCTAGAAAACATTCACAATGTCGTGAAATGCAATGCCACCCCAACTCCGGTCCTAAATTGACATAACTCACACCGAAAATCGCTAATTGACTTTATCGAGGCGAGATTACTTAACTATCCCGGTGTAAGACCCCAATACAAAAAATTAATTGCATTTGCATAATTTAATTTAATTAAATATATTTTTTTATGTGAATATTTTAAGAAGTGATTGTTTCATGAAATTATTGTTGTGTGTTAAAGCTTACTAAGTAAACTAGTCTATAGATAGTGTATATCAACTGTACATGGAAGTGGTGTGGTTGGCGGCTAATAGGATTAAATTGTGTGTGGGTTGAATATAGCATGATGTTGGTTGTTTGAAGATACATGTGGAAGTTCCAAACTCTTCTGGATGATGCTTACAGGTTTTTATATATATTTTATATCAATTATAGTAAGGTGATGTGAAGGTTTAAGGATAGTTGACTAGTATTGATTTCCTATTTATTTCATTGGATTAAAGAGTTAGGCTTACTAAAAGGAACTTGCTGCCAGCACAACACACATTCACATAACACGTGTATCTATTGATAAACATGGAAAACAAAAGAAAAAAAAAAAAAAATAGAAAGAGAGAAGGGGATTTTGGTTTCCGCTGGAGAGAAGAAAAAGAAGTATAAGAAAGTTTTGAAAAGGAAAACACAGGGGAAAAGAAGGTGAAGCCGTGTGGGAAAGAAAGAAGAGAAAATTAGAAAAGGAAAAGAAATATCCTACAGGTGAGGATTTTATATATTTTTTTAAAATTTCTATATTGAGGTTTAAACTTACCATGAATAATTTGGTTTACGAGTTATCTTGTGGATTTCTATTTATTTAATTGGATAGATCCAAGTATTTCAATTGTCTAAAATGGAAGGAATTATGAAGTTGTCTGAAATGGAAGGAATTATGAAGTAGTTGAAATTGTTAAGGTGAAATTGATATATATATATATATATATATATATATATATGGTTAATAATATGAGATTATAGAAGCCGAATGAGAAAGGAGATTGAAGGAGAGAGAAATAAGAAGAATATAAAAGAAAAATGGGTATGTGACTTTGGGTACAGAAGTACTGGAGGTGACTTTTATTTTATTTTATCCTTATTGGAGGCTTTTATTTTTTTTTTTTACACGGATAAGCTGGTTGATTGATTGTGTATAAATCATAGTTATTTGTATTTTGTTATCTCACTTAAATAATTTGAGTGAAAATAATTGTTAATTGGAATGGTGGAGTTGAAATTTCACATAAATGGCTATGATTATGGTTTTAAATGAAAATTGTGATTTATTATTTAATTCTTTTTAGAAATATATATGATATGGGTATAATGTTATATAGGCAAGGAGAATGACTTAACAACTTCAACATTTCCAGGGGATAAGTAAATATTTCGGGAAGTAGCCAAGGTGAGTGTACTCACTAGAAGTTTATACTTGAATATGTTCAATTGAAGTATTGAAACTGTTTATGTGAATTGAAGATGAATATACATAAATTGATTATATTATATAAGGTCCATACTCTGGCGTGGAAGGAGAGTACTACATTAAATAAGGTTCATACTCTAGCCAAGAAGGAAAGTACTATATTTAAATAAAGTCCATACTCTGGCCTAGAAGGAGAGTACTATATTATATAAGGTCCATACTCTGGCCTAGAAGGAGAGTACTATATTTTAATGCCTGTAATATGTTAATGAAGTTTAACTGAAGTTATTAGATAATAATTGTTTATATTACTCTGATATAGTCGTGTTGCATTCACTGGGCTTTAAGCTTATTCCTTTCAGGTATCAGGTTGGGTTGCTACTGCCAAGTTTAGAATCTTGTGTGTGAATGGGGAAAGGAACAATGGATTGTCTTTTGTTTAAGATGTAAATATTGTAGTAGTATTTAATAGTGTAACTTGTCGTTAACATTTTAATTTGTCAGAATTTGCATACCAGGCTTATAATTTGTTTTTAGATTGTAACTTGTTAAGCAGGTACTCTGATATATGATGATGTCATGTTGAATGAGGTTAATTCAGATGGTTAAATACATTCCAATTTGTTTAATTTATTAACTAGAGTAAATTGGGTTGGGGTGTGTCTCCCGGGTTCCAAATCCGGCAACAATTTAGAGCCCAGTTAATGCAACATTACACGTCCTAATTCGGTACGCACTCCCTCTAGGTGAAATTAGCACCAGACTCGCGAAATTTGGTTATTTTCTAAAACCATTTCTCAAACTTATCAAAATTCAATTTCTTTGACAATTTCCCTTTAACTTCGTACCATGTTACACCATGAATGCCAACATGCATCACTTACAATCATCATTGATTCTATAACATCGTATATACGTGTAAATATGGCATTTAATTATGCATTCTTGAAGAATTTGCACAATATAACAAAACTAACCATCAATAGATAATGATGATGGTGTCGACAGGCGACGGTGATTTCATCTTCCGTTTCAGCGGGGGCGGCGATGGTAAGTGATGGGGGGTGGCATCGTAGAGAGAGATAGAGAGAAGGGGTAGGGTGGTGGTGGTAGCGATGATGGGTGGTGTTGGAGCTGTAAAAGGAGGAAGAGAGAGAACAGAGAGATGAGTGATGAAAGAGAAAGGGGATGTGAATGGGTTGTGGACGAGAGAGAAAGGGGCTGTATAGTAACAGAGGTGGTGATTGCAGAAAAGGCGACGGTGGTTGCAACAGAGGCGGTGATAATTTTCAGATCTTCAGACACGCATCCACGCGCTGACATATTGCAAATCGCGTGAACTTCACACGCCGGCGTTGGAATCTCTGGTCGCAATTAAAATCACCAATCTTTCTC